TTTTTTTGGGGGGGGGGATCTTTTCTCTCTCATTCATTATTTATAATTATAATTATTAATACACTTTAATGGCCGCTCAATACCAACATGTGTGTCCATAGTTGGAACACACACAAACACACACACACAATTTTTGCTAACAATTGACACAATTCTATATTAGTGGTGTTAGTTTGATTTATTTTCACAAAAATGTTCATCCTCATTCATCGTTTTATTACGTATATATTTATTATGTCGGATTATAATATTAAAAAAAAAAAAAAAAAAGAAAGTTTGATTAACAAATTTAATAAATAATTGAATGATTTCAATTGAATGCCCAATATGGCGTTCTATTGAATGCCCAATATGGCGTTCAATTGAACGCCATATTTGTTTTTCATATTAACTCATCATGTATTCCAATTTTTTTTTTAACTTTTTTCTTCATTATATGTAAAATTTAATAAGAGATAACGTTCTTTTTCTTCTTTTTTTTTTATTTATTTATATAAATAACAAAACTAATTTAATAATAACATAAAATAAAATAAAATAAAATGAATTGTTTCGTCGTCGTCGTCGTCGTCTTCATCTTGTTCGAGGATCACAAATGGGGGCGGTTTTTTGGTTTGAAATGTGTTGTCGTCGTTTAGGATGAAATTAAATCAATTTATAAAATAAAAGAGAAATTTTGTTACTCTCTCTCTCTCTCTCTCACACACATAAAATAAAATAAAATGAATTGTTTCGTCGTCGTCGTCGTCGTCTTCATCTTGTTCGAGGATCACAAATGGGGGCGGTTTTTTGGTTTGAAATGNTTTTTGGTTTGAAATGTGTTGTCGTCGTTTAGGATGAAATTAAATCAATTTATAAAATAAAAGAGAAATTTTGTTACTCTCTCTCTCTCTCTCTCTCACACACATACACACATATACAATTTAACTTTTACAATTTGTAAATAGTCATCACATGCTCACAATCAGTCTCTCTTTCTTTCTTTCTTTTTTATTTTTGTTTCTCTGTTCATTCTCTCTGTTTGAACTTTGAGATTACAAATCAAATCTAATAATATAAACAATATAATAAATGTTAATAACAATTTGTGGCGACGTTATCGATTAATTCAAATTTTTTTTGGAATATATGTTTCCTCTTTTTTTTTTTTTTTATAATAAAATATGGAATAGAAGATCGATTTCGAATCGTTTGAATAAATCGTTCACATATTTTGTAATCCCTTGATACAATTGCCATAATTGATACATTTGTATTATTATTATTATTATTATTATTATTATTAATGATAATATTATTAATATAATTATAATAACAATATAAACCTAACCCCTTTTTCATAATAATAACGCGTTTTAAATAAATTAGGTTAGAAAATAAATCACTGCTGATTATAAAAAGCCATCTATCGGCAAAATCCGCAATCATTTATTTGCCAACCTACTATTTTATTTAAATAGAAAAAACGATTGAAAAAAAAAAAAGGAAAATAATATATAGACAAACAATTATTTCAATTATTTCAATTATATCAATTATTTCTTCTTTTTTTTAAATATATATATATATAAAAAAACAAATATATATATATTTGATCAATAGCACACAAAGGAATCATCATCATCAACATCATCATCATCATGAGGATTTCAACCAGTAACAGAGAAAGTCTTCTCGTCGTCGTTGAGTATCTCGTCGATCTGCTTTACCCAGTCCTCCTTATCACCGATAACGTCGTTTATCAAGGCGTTGTTCTTATCCTGGCCACTCGAGACAAATTCGTAATCCTTCAGCTCGGCTTCCAATTCACGTTCCCAATCTTCTTCTGCGGAGAGAGTCACAAGGAGCGTTGGTAGCTGCTATTTTAGCCAATTGGGCTAATGGTTTTGTTGGACTTGTGTATGCATGTGTATGTATCTGTGTATTCTGGTATCGTATGACGTATATATACATGTAACATATATATATACGTGTCTCATTCAATTAAATGTTTCATTTTATTTGTTCATATTTTTTTGTTCATTTTATTTGTTCATTTTACGTAAGCGTAAAAAATTAATTGTTATTTTTTTTCTTACGCTTACGTGTAACATTTGTTTTGTTCTACCTCCATGTTATGTGTAAGTGTGTATGTGTATGTGTATGTGTGAGAGATTAAAAAGGAATAGAAAAGATACTAGGGTACGTGTGTGTTGATGATGTGTTTTTGTGTATGTGTAGTGTAGGTTTAGAGAAGAAGATATAAGGGTGGTTATGTGTGTATTTAAATGCGGGGTTTTATAAGATCAATAATAAAAACTTAAATTCACGATAAGGGAATGATGATGGTTGAAAACCATGAGAAATAATTGTGAAAGCAACAAAAAACAAAAAAATATGGGAGGATTTAATTTTTTTGTTATGAAATCACGCGAATATTCAGAAATTTGGGCTGACGATGTGTGATATTTATTTCCTTTTTTTTTTTTTTTTTTTTTTTNATAATTGTGAAAGCAACAAAAAACAAAAAAATATGGGAGGATTTAATTTTTTTGTTATGAAATCACGCGAATATTCAGAAATTTGGGCTGACGATTTTAAATGTTCTTTAACGTATACTCTTTTTATTTTATTTCATTTCATTTCATTTTGTTGTTGTTTTTTTAATTTATTTATCTGTTTATTTATTTATATTACGTTTTTGCCCTTTTCTTTTTTTATTTCCAATTTTCTCTTTTCCTATTTATTCAATTTTTATTATTCCTACCATCTTCCACTTCACGATTCGCGATAACTTGGAATGTATTTATTATTATTATTATTATTATTATTATTATTATTATTATTATTATTATTGGATATAAATAAATTTTGTGGTTGTTAACTTTTATGGGGAATGTAAAAATTCGATTTTATACGTTGAGCGCCACGTCAGTCATCTATGACTGACACGAGACTTTTCGTTTAGGCCATGTCAGTCACTTGTGACTGACATATTCAACTATTTTCAATACAAAGTAACCCCTGTGGCCTGACGGGAATGTCCCTAAGAATTCACGTGGCGTTCAACGTGCTTAAGAGATCAGAAATCACGAGTAGCATGAGCCTGTGTCAAACAATCGCTAATTTTTGTTAATTATTATTAATCTCGATAAATGTATAATACTTTTGTTCTTTTATCTTTTTGTTTTTGTTTTTATACAATATACACACAGTATTTATGTATACACATATATGTATATTGGTATACTAACTTCAACCTATAAACTTGTCGTATAACAATTTATAAATAAACAATTTAAATTGGATCAAATTGTAAATCTAAACCATTCTCGAATCCATCTGAGGACACACGAAAAATTTCATTAAAATCAGTCTAGCCGTTTAGGAGGATTTCGGGAACAAACACACGCACAGAAGAATTATATATATATATAAAGAATATTGGGATCTTTGACAGGGACGTGACGTGGCAATTCGACCTAACTATTCTAATTTTGAATTTAGCCATCAGATAGCGTATTCAAGTGCTAGAGATCCCAAAATATTTTTCTAAATCACTAATATCACTTATTAAAACTTATTAACTTTAAAATTGAAGGAATGGATACGAAAAACTCAGTCGATTAAATGATAATACTTGTATTATGTGGTTCTCAATTTCTATTCTTAGTTTTGTTAATAATAATAATAATAATAATAATAAAATGGTTGAGCTGGGGTTGTTGCCATTTTTTTGATTAACACCACCGTTAATGAAAATATTCACGACGACGATGATATAACACTAATAATACTATTAATAATAATAATTATAATATAAATGCAATTATAATAACGATGAACAACAACAAGAACAACAACAACAATAATAATTATTATTAATTATTAATACTTAATAGAAAATTGAGAATATTCTGTGTTTTTTTTTCTCTCACTTTTATCGATTCCAATTCACTTCTTTTGGTTTCTTTCAGCTTTTTTTTTGTTTTTTGTTTTTTTTAAGTTTCTTTTTCTTGTAATATGATGTGAGATGCAATTATGAATATCTCGTAATTAAGGTTTTTACTTAATTTAATTTTATACTTCCTTTTTCTTTTTTTTATCTTTTTTTTTTTTTTTTTTTTTTAGATAGACATCGAGTTCTAAACGTTTTCTTCGCCCACGTAGAAAAAATTCTCTCTCAAGTTCTTTAATCGTCAGTTATTGAATTATTTCTCTGTTCATTATTTTTATTATTACTCTTCTCGTTTATTAAGTTTGTAGAATAGTTTTTTTTCTTTTTTTTTTTTTTTTAATTACTTTTCTTTACTTCGTTCGTATTAAAAAAGAAGAAGAAGAAGAAGAAAACAGAAGAAAAAAAAGCTGATTCAATTTAACAAGTAATTAAAGCCAAGTGAAAGAAACGAGACGAAGATGCATTTTTGTTTGTTTGTTTTTTTTGTATTTTTGTGTTAATCTTTCAGTATTTTTCATTACTTCCATTTTAGTCTTTCATATTTTTCTTCTTTCTCTCTCTCTCTCTTTCTCTCTTTCTCTTCTAATCTCTCTTTCTGTCTTTCTATCTCTGTTTATCATTTTTCTTCTTTTAATTTCTTTCATTAATCAAATCTTTTAACTTTACATAACCAAACTAACCCCCCATAAAACGCGTATTGTCATTCAATGAATTTTTATTGTTTTTTTTTTCCTTTTTTTATTTAGTTTGAATCAACTTCCCTCCCTCTCTCTCTCTCTCTCTCTCTCTCATTATCTCATTTTCTCTCTTTGTCTCTCTTGTTATTATTATTTTTCCTTTTTTTTTAAATTATTATTTTAATATCTTATTAGGAAGGTAACCTAACCTGTAAACTTATAGAGGGCGCGACTAAAACGAATCCATTTTTTCTTTTTTAGGTCGCGACGTTATATTTCGTTTATTTATTCGTTATTAATTATTTTATTTTTTCTTATCTTTCTTATTTCTCTTTTCTTAAACATTTCTTTTCTTTCATTTGTATAATTTTAATTTGACCACCTACCCCCCGTCCCCCATTTTGTTTTCTTAAATTCACGCGGATTCCTGCACGTTTCTTTTTTCATCTTCTTCTTTTTTTTTTTTTTTAATGTACGATTTCTTTATTACATAGTCTCTGTTTTATTATTATTAATATTATTAATATTATTATTATTATTATTATCATTAATATTAATTTTATTATTATTGTTTATAATTATTAATATTATCATTATTATTTATATTATTATTTATATCATTATTAGTATTAGTATTAATTTTATTATTATTAATTATTATTATCATTATTATTATTATTATTATTATTAATATTATTATTATATTATTATTATTATTATTTCCCTTTATAATTTTGTGTCTTAATTATTTTTTTTCCCCTTACTGTACTTATTATTTCCTTTTTTTTTTTTTGTTTTGTTTTTGTTTTTCTCTTTTTGTTTTTGCACATTTGGAATTTTTTTTTTTTTTTAAACTTTTTTATACTTTTTTTCCCCATTTTTATTATTTAAAACGACGTTTTACAACACGGAGAGAATCGAGAAGAGACAAGATTTAAAATTAGATTTGAAGTGACAGACAGACAGACAGACAGACAGAGACAAACGGACAGGACATACAAGGACATTTAAGTCGAATATCTTTTGAGCTTTTTTTTGTTGCTTTGCTTTTGCTTTTGCTTTGCTTTGCTCTGCTTTACTTTGCTTTCTTTGTTTGTTAATTGATTATACTTCTTTTTTTTCCTTTTTTTTTTATTTTTTATATTCTTCTTCTTTCTTCTTTCTTCTTAATACCATTGCTTGTGTTTAAATTATTATTATTATTATTATTATTATTATTATTATTGTTTTTCTCTCATTCTTTCTCTTTCTTTTTGGATAATCTTTCTATTTCCTTTTTTTAGCACACCCTCTTTTTTTTTTTCTTCATATTGATTAAAATATTATTATTATTATTTTTTTTTTTAACCAACTAAATTCACCTAACCTCTCTTTCTTTCTTTCTTTCTTTCTTTCTTTTTATTTTTTTCTTTTATTTTGTTTAAATATCCAGTTTGTTAGCTTTGTTTTGTTTTCTTCTTCTTTTTGTTTAATTCTCTCTCTCTCTCTCTCTCTCTCTCTCTCTCTTATTTTTTTTTCTTTTACATAACCTCGTAAACATTATTAATTCTTATCTTCAACTGACTATGATTAATTATGACAATAATAATTTTATGACAATTTATAATACCAGTGACGAGACACGTTTAATAACAATAATTATAATAATAATATATTTATATATATATATTCCTAAACTTTCAATTAGTTTAAGAAAGTTAATTAATGAGATATTATTTTTTTGTTTTCTTAACACGACCGATACATGAAACTCGTAATGATAATGATAATGATAATGATAATGATAATGATGATGATGATGAATAATGATGATGAACTGTCGAACGATTTATGAGAATATATGAAACTAACCGAATTATTATTTATAATCATTTTTTTTTTTTTTTTTAAAGGAAACAAAAAGAAAAATATTGTTTAGGATTGTATCGGTGCGAATATTTACTAATCATTATTAACATTAATAATAATAAACCAATAATAATAATAATAATAATAATAATATTAATAAATAAATAAATAAATAAATGAAGAATACTGCGTGCGATGGTTTAATGAAAATGTAAATCAAAATAATTATTAATCAAAATTAATTAATTAACATTACAATTGAATTATAAAAAAAAAATTGTAAATCAAAAATTGGTAAATGGAAAAGAGAAATAATAATAATAATAATAATAACAATAACAATAATAATAATAATAAGAAAAGAAAAGGGTATTAGGCTTGTCGTATATTCTCTGAAGAATTGGGGTTAGGGGGTCGGTTTATAGAGGGCGTCTGGGGTGTGCTTTTTGGATAATGGCAATATGGGGTAAGTTCTCCTCTTCTTTTTAGGCTGTTGACAAAATAGAAATGAAAAGCGGTCGTTTAGTTGACAGGCGTCATAAATTTGGTTTGAAAAATATATAACGCAAGGCTTTTTTTTTTAACAATCAACGAGAAGAGAATTTTGTATAAATATAATAGATATATAAAAACACGCTTAATAAACAAACTACTTTTACGGGTATAATTCCTAATAATACGAGAGAGGAATTTCTAAAGCACAGATCAGCGGATTTTGCCACTCAATGTTACAAAATTGGGTAGCTTATTTGACCATTCAATTCTCAAATTACATCAATTCAATTGACTTTAGCAGTAAACTGACTGAAATAGGAAATACAGGAGAACGAACGCATTGTTGAAAAGTATTTTCCAAAATATAAAACCTATAAAGTTTTATTCAGTAAACTCTTAAGATAGTTTTACTTAGTTACTTTCATTTTTTAACACGTTGAGCGCCACCTATGCTATCAATGGCGGACATTAGACTTTCCGTTTGGGCCACGTCAGTCATCGGTGGCTGACAGCGTGTATAACATTATATGTATAAGCGGCCAGTGTGGCCTGATGGGGGACTTACTTGTAAATAAGAATGGCGCTGAACGTGTTAATTATTGAAATTTTTGAGGTTATGTACAAATAGTGTCATGTACACTAGTATTTTCATTTACTATTATTATTATAAGCAATGATATCATCCTTATAAAATTAAATTTTATTTGAAATTATTTTTGGATTTGTTGATATTGCTAATAAATTGATGTTCAAATAAGAAAATGGAGGGGACACAAAGTGGCAATCCGCTGGCACAGATATAGGAGGAAAAAGAAAAGAATAGGAAGATAAATGAAATAAAAATAAAAATTAAAAAAAAAAAGAAATAGGAAGAAGGTGGTTGGTAAAAGAAAGCTTTGGCTTTGCCATTTTGTACGAAAATTGCAGTTGAAGTAAATTGGTCTAAAAAGGAGGGACTAAAGGTTTTTGTTTTTTTTTCTTTATAGGAAGAAGTTCATTACAAACAAAGACTACGTTAAACGACATTTAATAAACGTCAGATAATTATAGAAAATTATAAATGACACACACACACACAGATAACATACATGTATATATATATATATATATATATATATATATATTAAATATATATGTATATATATATATGTTAGATCAAGTTTTAAAAGCTTTTCACGATGATTATTTTAATACTTCTTTCGTAATACTCACGAGGAAAAGTATTCTTGGACCGTGTCGAGGAATTAGAACCTATTCGATCTTTATCAACAAATTCTTTCCTTATTTTTTTTTTTTTCAATTAATTTATATTTAAAAATATATTTTTTATTTGTTTCAATCATTTTCTACTTTTTTTTTTCTTTTTTGTTTTTTTTTTTTTTTTAACACATTGAACGTCTGATTTCGTTTTTTTTTTTTATATTTTCATTTTACAATACTTGAGTACATTTTAACGTTGATATATATTTTAATTATAAGTGTAATTGTTTATTTTTTATTTTGCTTTTTGTTTCTACATTTGTTTATATAATTTCTAAAAAAAAAAGAATATAAATAAAATGTTTTTATGTAAAATCAGATGAACACTAATTTATTTGTAAATCAATTTACGTTTCTTTGTTAAACAAGGATGGTTCAATACCAACCATTGTTCAATGTGTTAATAATAATAATAATAATAATAATAGTAATGATAATAATAATATAAGGAAAGAATTAGTTTTTCAATTCGTTACTCGAAATCTCGTTGGTGGTCGTAACGCGATTTTAATTTTATTACTAATTTTATTTTCCTTATTTTTTTTCTTTTTTCTTCATCAAAAGACAATTAATAAATTAATCTTAGTTACTAAGATTAGTAACAACTAATAATTATTTAATTACTAAAAGTAGTATAATTTTTTAAATTAATTAATTAATTTAATTATTAAAATAAATTATATCAATAATTATATATTTATTATTATTAATATATTATATTAATATTAATAAATTTATATTTAAATTAAATTATATTAAAATTTATCATAATATTTATGAAATAAATTTTAATATAAATAATTATATAATTTTTATATTATTAATATTATATTATATTAATAAATATGAATTACTTGTATAATTTATTTTAATAATTAAATTGTTAAATTAATTAAATAATATAATATTATAAAGATATATATGTATATAAAAACATATATCATTATTGTTGGATAACAATATTAAATTTTTATTAAATTTAAATTAAATTTAATGTTGAATATTAATTAAAAATTCGTTTATTTGTAAAGTTTTGTTAATAAGAAAAAAAAAAAAAAAAAAAAAGAAATATTAAAAGAAAATGATTATTTCCGAAGACTTGTGTTAATTTTTGTTGTTACAAACGACGACCAACGATTAACAATCACTGACCTTTCGATGGTTGCATTCCCAATTTTTTCATGCCCTCTCGTACTTCCTCAAGGTCCGTATCCGTGACCCTCATACTATCGGAAACGAATTCGTGACCTGGTGAATCGGCCAAGGTGTTGTTATTTCCTGTCGTCACGTTGTTCCTCGTTTCTTGGCCAGCGGTCACTTGAACTGTTCGCAATACAACACTCACGGCTAAACTAGAAGGGCACTTTCTACTACTAGCATACTATTTATATATTTACTATTAATCAATTAATAATTATTAACTATATAGATAAATATTTAACTAGGATAACATAATACGTTCTAAACGGAACGTGCAAAACCTATTTATAATTTTGTTTAAACAAACTGTTCTTTTCTTCACGTCATTTTTCTCTCTTTTTTTTTTTTTGGTATAAAAGATACAAAGAAAAAATCATTAAATAACCAAATAACAAATGAAAAATGATTGCTCATTACTATTTTTTTAATTCATTTTTCATACGTTGTTTAATGTAAAAAAAAAAAAAACAAAAAAATGATAAAATTAATCGTTCGAAAGATTTCATCAATTTTCAGTCTCTTTTTTTTCCCTTTTTTTTTTAGGTCAAAATGGAAGTTCTAATCTATTTTTTTCATAAATCACAATTAACATAAACAAATAAATAAAATAAGAATAAAAAAAATCTTTACGATTTACGTGTGAGTGTCTTGTGTTCAAAACAACAACGAAATTATTAATTCATGCTGTATTTTAATCTACACTATAAGCCAAATATTATTGGGATTTCTGGCAGAGGGCGTGGCATAGCAATTCGACCTATCTATTTTAATTGTGAATTTAGCCACCAGATAGCGTATTCAAGTGCTAGAGATCCCAATATAAGAAAATTTCATTTAACAGATCTATGCTGCAGTTTATGCATTTAATTATTATTATTATTATTATTATTTGTTGTTTCGTTTAAAAAAAAAAAAATTAGCGTGAGGCACTCTTTAAAGCTTAATTAACAATTTGAAAAAATATGAAAAAACGTGCTTGACAATCATATCATTTATAATTATTCATGCAAAAATGATGAATAAAAAATACTTCAAATCTACGACGATAGAAACAATAAAATAATTATTAATATGTTTAAAACAATTTAATTTTAAATCGTCGTAGATTATTATTATTAATATTATAATTATTATACTCGAAGCAACAATAATATCTTTCAATAAAAATCTGATTAAATAATAAATAATTTTCTCTTGATACGAATTAAAGGTTTAATTAATTTCGAATAAATGAAATCCACGTGTTGTGTTTGTTTAAGTGCTTCGAGTAATTTGTTAGATTACAAAAAAAGAGAACTGAAATAAATTGATACAAAAAAAAAAAAAAAAAAAAAAGAAAAGAAAATGTTTAATGTTTGAAAGATAAAAATTACCTTGAGTATGATCGATGCTATCGGTAGTGCTGAGATTTTGATTAGGGTTTTCGCTTTGTTGTTGATTAGCCATCGCGTTAAGTTCATGGCTTTGTCGTAATAACGACACCCGGTAGAAATAATTACGCCAAAATTCGTCCTCCGATACGCTACCAATCAAAAGATAATATTAAAAACACACACATATATATAATTATATATTAATATTTTATTATTATTATTAATATTTATTATATCCCCGTGAGGGTGGCGGTGAAGAATACCCCCTCAGTAATCCCTGCTTGTCGTAAGAGGCGACTAAAAGGGCGACTTATATATATATATATATATATATATATATATATATATTATATAATATAAATATAATACATTATATAATATAATATATATATTATATAATATAATATATAATATATAATATATAATATATAATATATAATATATATTATTATATTATAATATTCTTATATTCTATAATATTATATTATATTATATACTATATTATATTATATACTATATTATATATAATAATATAATATTATATTATAATATATATTATATTATATATAATGTAAAAATACTTACACTTTCGGGACCAATTCGTATCTCATTTTTTCGAGGTTAGGATCCAGAGCAAGGGTGGCTCTTGCTACAGGCTGAATGGCTTCGAAATCCCAAGCGAATTCAACGTCGGGTGGTGGTGCTCTCGTGAAATTACGACGTTCCTTAAAATTTACACAAATAACGTCTTCTCTTATTCCTTCGTTAAGAAAAGTTTATATATATATATATATAAACAACGTTTAAAAGTAATACAAGCCATTATTTCGAAATATTTGTTCCGTCATTAAAACGTAACTCGTAACTTATAACTTGTAACTTGTAAATGAACGAGATAGTTGAGGAGTATTGTAATAAGACTTGTTTGTTTCTACTTTTGAGTTATTATCGAAGAAAACTTTTATTCAAAGAATTATAGTAATTATTTATATGTTTTGTGTATATATATATATATATATGTTAATATATACTGGGTGAGACATTGAGAATCTTTACAAATTTATTACAACAGTATTTAGGATTGAACAATATTTTTTTAAAGATTATTTTGAAACATTTGTAAAAATAAACCAATTGTATCGTATTTTTTAAACGTATCGTTGAAATAAGTATTTTAAAAATGTTTTCCATTTATTTTAACACACCCTGTATATATTTCGAGTTAAAATAGATCCCCCAGTATATATATACTACACTTTATACAACATTAATGTTGTCGCTTACGAGCTGTGCACATCAACGAGAAACTTTTCAGCCCCTTATGAAAGGCAACTCATTCATACATAAATGTAATAAAGAGAAGCCTTTTCTAAGGGCAGATAAAAAAGTTTTGCCTTTTACCGATAGATAACGTAGGAGTACGATACTATCGACTTGTACAAAATGTTGCCTATATTTAGGGGCAAACGTATCAGTATTCTAATTATTTTCTTTTTTTAAAACAATATAATTGTTATTAATGTTTCAAATAAACAATTGAGAAATGTTTAATAATAAAGTAAGAGAATACATAAGAAAACAGAATGAAAATAAATAAGAGAAAAATAGGAATGAGAAGAAAGTATAGGGTTCTTACAACACACCGAAATATAAAAATATTAATGGATTAATTGAAAATTGGGATTTAATTTGTCTTTGATAAAAAGTGGACGTTTTGAGATGTTTATTTAAAAATGAAAAATATTAGAAAATACTAACCGTAGATAGTGACAAACATTCTTCACGTAATACGTCCTCGTTTGGTGCCCCAACCCATGGTGCAACTGCTTCACCTTTTCCATTTTGTTTACTCGCGATGAAAGCTTCTTGTTCTTTATTGAGTTCAGCAATCAGTCTCTGAAATATAATTAATTAATAGTTTATATATATATATATAGTAATATATCTATATATTAGGTCAACCAGAAAGTTCAGTCCATTTTAAAAATAAAATGAAATAATAAATTATTTATAATTATAACAATTAATTAATTAAATTATTTTTGAACTCTTGTGAACATGGCGGCAATTTTTATTGGGATCTCTAGCACTTGAATACGCTATCTGGTGGCTAAATTCAAAATTACAGTAGATAGGTCGAATTGTTACGACGTCACGTGACATCTCTAACACTTGAATACGCTATCTGGTGGCTAAATTCAAAATTACAGTAGATAGGTCGAATTGCTACGTCACGTGGGATCTTCAGCACTTGAATACGCTATCTGGTGGCAAAATTCAAATTTACAGTAGATAGTTTGAATTGCTACGCCATGCCCCTGCCAGAGATTCCAATATTTCATTTTAAGAAATGGGGCCTTACCCCTAGTGACGAAAAATTGAACTAATGTTTGTTTGAACGGACTAATATATGAAAATGTAGATTTCGTTCAAAAGTACTTTACTAATTGTCTTGAAATTTTTATACAACGTTGCATTCGCATACAGCTAGGTTTTTATTACATTAATTTATTTATATAATAATTAATTAATTAAAAAAAAGCAAAGAAAAAGATACAGATAAGTCTAACGTCATCTGTTGGTCATAAATTTCGGTGAGGGGGCGACACATTTGAACATAACCTAACCTAACCTTTATCTATATAACAATTTTCATTTATTATTAGATTTTGATACAGTTTCGTAAATATTCAGTAAACTGAATGATTTGAAAAGGTAAAATATAGAAAATCTACGTGTAATTATTTAATTTCTATTTCAATTACAGCACACTTTGCTTTTCAAAAATGTTGTTAGTTAACAAAAATAAAAAAATCAGTTTGATTTTCAGTTTGTTGTTGATTTTATTATTATTATTTTTTATTATAATTTTTTGTTCATATCATATTAATTAATATTACGTTTTAAAATGTAAGATATTATGGTATATATAAATAATTAATTATTATTATGATTAATGTCTTGATCTTTTATAGAAGATTAGGTATTAAAGTTATCCTTAGAAAGATATAAAGAGATAAAAAAAAATATGAAAAGGGAAAACATGCTAAAGTAGTGTTGTAAAATGAGATGAAAAGCGAATAAGAGATAAGAAGATCGAGCAAGTTTATTCGTATTACGATGATTGAAATCAGGTCAACGAAGTTTTCGTTGAGTTTGCAGCAGGGAACTGTATTACCGAGAGTTATGAAGAGTTAGACTTCATTTTCAAGATACTTCATCTACTTCTTCTTCTTCTTCTTCTTCTTCTTTTTATTTTGCTTTTTCTTTTTTTTTTCTCACTCCTCTTTTACTATCTTTTCATCGTTTAAAGGTAAATCTTATTGTCTCAAAAGAAAGGTATGATAAAATTGTGTTTTGCATGTAAATTAAAGTACTCTCATTAATATTAGGTCTATCGTAAAATTCTGTTCGTTCAAACAAACATTAGTTCAATTTTTCGTCACTAGATGGTAAGGTTTCCCATTTCTTAAAATGGAATATAAAAATTGCGGCTACCATCATGTTGTGGGATGAGTTCAAAAAAGTAATTCAATTAATTAATTGTTCAAATTAGAAATAATTTATTATTTTATTGTATTTTAACTTTGTTAATTGATATTAAATATTATTTATTATATAAAAGAAGTAAAAATTTAAAGAATTTTAATTTTATTAATAAATAAAAATATTATTTTTTTTTTAATAATTAGTATAATAAAATTTGTATTAATTAGTATTACTTGAAAATCTTCAACTAGGTAGTTGAATTAAGATTTTAGCAATGAATTTCTAATTTGCTTTAATTAAATGGCGTTTGTAACAATAAGGGAATCAATTGATCGAATGTACTTTGATCCTAACTTAATCGTTCTTAAACTGTAAACCCTAAGGATTCCGTACGAATCCCAATTCATTTCAAAGGATTTGTTTCTAATTGAAAATTAATTACTTTCTTGTTATGTATAATTTACTTGTTTTATATTTAAATCGTTTTATTTACGTAATAATAATAATAATAATAATAAATATCAATATAAAATATATTATATAAGGTAAATTACACATTGAAAATTATATTCATAATTATATTTATATAAATTATATTAATATTATAATATACATTATAATATAAATATACTATAATATATAATATACATATATATATATTAACATATAATATAGTTATATATTAATATATATCGTATAATATATATTATATATATTATATATAATAAATTATATATAATATATAATAATATATTATAATTATAAATATAAATAATATAAATAAAATAAATATAAAATAATATAATAATAAATATAAAAAAATAAAAAAATAAAAAATNATATAATATATATAATTTAATATATTTATAATATTATATATATAATTAATATATTATTATATATTATTATAATATATGTATATTTATACATATATTACATACAATACATGTACATAAATATACATATATATATATATATATATATAATATAACAAATGAAGAGAATATAAAAAGAAAAATAATATTAACCACAATAAAGATTTTGTATCTGTGAAAATAAAACGATCAAAGGGATTGTACAATCGTTAAAAAAAAAAGGGTTGTGTTCCAATATTGCGGTCACGGTTGTTACGAGAAAACGTGCTTTGGAATTCGATCAATGTCGGCAGTCAAAGTCCCATTTGCCAAAGAGAATTACTACGAGAATTACTACTGGGTTTTGTCGCGAGAATAAGCTTTTAAGTAGAATTAAAAGAAATGGTTGAAGTTATATAAGGTGGAAGTAAAAGGAAATGTGGGTGAGGTAGTAAGGACTAAGGACTAAGGAAAGAAAATACTAAAAGAATGAAATGTTTAGCAGTAAGAACTTGATAGAACCTCATAGGACTAAAAAGGGTAGTCAACAACCTTTTAATTGGGTATGTTTAGATGTTGTTGAAAGTTACGTCATTACATCAAACCCACCATTTTTCAAATATATTTTATTTAAGAAATTAAATATAATATAAAAAGTGAATGAAGAATCAGAATCAGAATCAGAATTAATTGGTGATAAAGAAATAAAATGATCAAATGGAATAATAGAAAAAAAATGATTTAAATAAAAGAGAGAGAGAAAGAGAGATAGAAATAATAAAAAATAAAAAGATTCAAGAAAAGGAAAGGGAATAATAATAAATTATAATTAATTAATTATTAAAATAAAATATTACAAATTGATTAATAATAATGACTACTTAATTATAAAGAAATAAAATGATAAAAGGAAAAATAGTAATTGGTTTGAGATTCAGTGATGTTATTTCATTTTCTAATCTATTTTGTTTCAATTATAAAATATATATATAAAATCACATGAATTATATAACACCGTCTAGTTAATACGACTATTTAGATACCTAGATAATAACTAGATGATCCTAAGCTTAGATAAAGGAGAAGGGGGTTCGAGGATAATGCTAGCAATCTAACCTAAAACAAATAATCGCTTTCAGAACTAACTTCACACAGCTTCTTTAGTTTAAGCTTTTCAACTGTGAAGTTAGGTACAACACAGAACAAACAATTCTTAATAATACTAATAAAAAAAAAGAAACAGATAATTATTCATTATATTTTAAACGTATCTTATTTGATTATCTCAAAAGACGATACAATTTTGTAACTTTTCAATTAATATATTTGTTTTTTCACAATCTTTTACTTGAATTGATACCAGAACTAACTTCACACAGAGCTTTTCTTTAGGTTATGTTTGTAAACTGTAAAGTTAGGTCTAACACAGAACAAAACAGTTCCTAATAATAGTAATAAAAATAGAAAAAGATAATTATTCATTATATTTCAATATATCTTATTTAATTATCTCAAAAACCATTCACTTTTTTAACTCTTAAATTAATATATTTGTTTTCACAATCTTTTACTTGGATTGATACCAGAACTAACTTCACACAGAGCTTTTCTTTAGGTTATGTTTGTAAACTGTGAAGTTAGGTACAACACAGAACAAAACAGTTCCTAATTAATACTAATAAAAAAAGAAACAGATAATTATTCATTATATCTTAAACGTATCTTATTTGATTATCTCAAAAGACGATTCACTTTTTAAACTTTTAAATTAATATATTTGTTTTCACAATCTTTTACTTGGATTGATACTAGAACTAACTTCACACAGAGCTTTTCTTTAGGTTATGTTTGTAAACTGTGAAGTTAGGTCTAACACAGAACAAAACAGTTCCTAATAATAGTAATAAAAATAGAAAAAGATAATTATTCATTATATTTCAATATATCTTATTGAATTATCTCAAAAACCATTCACTTTTTAAACTCTTTTTTTTTTTTTTAATAATATTTTACTTGAATTGTTAATAAAAATTGTTCAAGATTTGTATAAGAGAGAGAATATAAGAAGAAGAAGAAAAAATGATGGTGATAAAGAAAAAGAGATTAATCAATGATGAGGAAAGAAAACGATAAAAGAAAAAATATAAAAAGAAAATGACAGAAAGAAGAAGAAGAAGAAGAAGAAGGGTGAGTGGGCGATCCATCCATCTCCCGTGGCTAATTACCCGCTTAATCGAAAGCACCCTCCAGTGTCTACCGAAGAAGAAGAAGAAGAAGGGTGAGTGAGATATCCATCCATCTCCCGTGGCTAATTACCCGCTTAATCGAAAGCACCCTCCAGTGTCTACCGCAGNAAGAAGATAAAAAGTCAATCGATAAGAAAGAAAAAAATAATAATAAAAAGAGAAAGAAAGAGAAAGAGAGAGAGGAAGAGATATTTTCCAAGGATCGTATCCGAATGAAGGTGGCCTATTGATCCATGAAGAGAGTGCCTAAGAGATGCTGGAGCTTCGTCCTTGACGTAATATCCGTCATTGCTTGGGAAAGAAAAGC